GTATTTCCAGGATTAGCTGACATAATGGGGTCAGTCTGCTGGCACAAATGATTTACAGAACACCCATTGGCAGCTTTCCTTTTAAAACTCAACACTTAAAATTTTCACTTGGTCACAGCCAGCAGAGTCCTGGGTATTCAGCGGGTTTGGATAATGGCCTTCCCGCCACATGTAGACTTTTAGGGTTTGGCCCCTGCACAGGAAGGGTTTTGGAATAATTTGGGGTCTTCCCCGGCCCTATCTGGAACAATGGACTCTGGGTGTGAGAAGGTCCTGGAGTGGTGGGGGGAGGGGGCCTTCTAAATATAGATTATTTTCAATATTCTAATGCACAACATGTAGGTGTTAAACAGATTATGTCTGCTCCAGCTCTCCTACCAGCTCTCCTCCAGATCTCCTGCCAATCTGCAAACACTGGGCTGCATGCTACAAGCGCCCAGCCCGTCTCTCCAGGCTTGACATGACGCTGGAAAGGGAAGGGAATGTGATGTGCTGTGGCCTTGCAAGGAGGCTGCAAGGTGCGGGCCCAGACTGCAGTCCAGTGAATGTCACCCTGGACGAGGGCAGAGGCCGTGGAACCTTCTCAGGGGTCCTGACCTAGTCTATAATACTCTGCTCGACCATGGAAATCAGAGGTCCGTAAACACATTGAGAGGTCTTCACTGTAAGCCGCCAGACTTAAGCAGAGTACAACGATGCAAGACAGAAATTTTTCCAACACGGACTTACATCTCCAACGATATTTACTTTAAATAGGCGACGAGTACAGTCCATTTGGTTTAAATATCCTGAGATTTTTCCAGCTACCGGACCACTCAACTGCACAGAAGATGAAGTAATTGGTAAGATTATTAATGTTTCTTTATTTTTCATATGACCACTTTGTACAAGTCAAAGGAAGATGCCAACAATAGCACTGCCTGCCTCATGCTTGTTACTAATATGACTGCCAATTAATCCTGACGTGGAGCTTGGTGGGTTACCCAAAACCCGGTATTTTATCACCTCAGGGGGTTAGCACTTGGACATTTCGATGACATTTTATACTAATCAATCAACTTTCCTTTTTTAAAGCAGAGCCTTTTGCAGGAACCGCAGACGAGTCCTGTATTCACCACATCCATGGCCACCTCTTTCCCCAAACAGAATTGTGTTTGGTTTGTTGATAATTACACTTTGAAGCAGACTTGTGAAAATGTTTATTCGCATTTCTTCCCTTCCAAGGGGGAAATCTATCTCAAATGTTAAGACAGAAACTCAAGTCCCTGAGAGTTTTCTCATATTATTGTATATTTTAAAATATTACAAGAGGGCTCTTCTCAAGGGAGGTGAACTTTAGAGCTGCCAAAGATAGTTGACTTTCTGTGAATCTGTTACCAATGGATCCCGAGCTGGTTTAAGTCAGTTCTATTCTGAGTGATGACACATGGGGCTGGGACAAACGCCATTCTAAGATATTTCTAGGACCCCCTGGCAAATGGTAATTCATCTGGAGACAGGCAGACAGGCAACGGAGGGACATATGGGGAGAATGAGTCTCCTGGGAGCCCTACGGCAAGGCAAGAGTCCTAAATCAGCCGAGGGACCGTGTCCTTGCGATGAAGGCCTTCACTCATCACTCTCGCGGCCCCGCGAACCTGATCCTCTGGCCTTAAATGATCTTTTCAACCATTCTGCATCTTAGAGGTCGCTCTAAAAAATCATCAAGCTGGCAAACTTTCAGCTGTGCCCCTACACTGTCTCCTGGAATTGAGGCACAGAGAAACTCAGTCCAAAGGATGAGCTTTGCGTCTGTCCCCTTCATTCCCACTGCTGACCCTCAGGAAGAACTAGGACACATGGCTCTCTCCACACCAGCATCTCTCCTCCTTCTTTTCATTCTTTCCTTTCTCCTCGCTGTCTATTCCTAGCGCAGAGAAAGTACCCTAGCCCTGGAGTTAGAAATGCCAGCCTGTCGGAGAATTACCGTGTGACTCTGGTTACGTTGCTAGCCTCTCCCTGCCTCAGTCGCCTCACTTGTGAAAGGGATACACTCATAGGGCTGCTGTGAGAAGTAAAAGGGACAAAGCATGCAAAATGTCTTGAAAAATAAAATATCCCACCCACCTCTTAGTGCCAACTCTCACCAATGTTGCCTGGCACAGCCTCGAGCCGACACCCCACCCCACCCCACCATCTATCTGTTGTAAAGGGACCAAGGGGCCACCTGACCTGGGAAGAGACATTGCATGTGACATTTGTAAAGTGCCATTCTGGAGCATTCACTCCGCCCCATTTGATCCTCTCGACTCCAGCAGCTGGGCCGCACTTGCAGTCCGCAGATGAGGAAGCCGAGGCTGGGAGGGGTTTGCACACTTCGGGGGCCACAGTGCTGGTGAGGACAAGAGCAGGGTCTGACCCAGGCTTGGCTGCAAAGCCCGTACCCTCATCCCTTGCCTCCCGTGTGCACAAACGGGCTCAAGTGGGAAGTCGTCTTAGGGGTCAAGGCAAGGTGCTGTGGAGCCCTCAAGGGCTCCCTGGGAGCGCAAGCCGTTTAGTCCAAGGTATGAGGCCACTGTGTGTAGCACAGGGACGAGAGGTGTGGCCACCCCTTGTTCCTTTCCAGTCCTGCACCTCCATGTCACCCTCTGCTGAGAAGGTAAATGGCACCCCTGAGATAAACATCACACTTTGATTTTACTTCTGCCCCTCTGTTTAGGAAGCAGAGTTCCTATCACTAACACAGGGAAAGGAAGGGCACCGTTCCTTGGGAATACAGTCCCTGTGTTTCCTGACGTTGCCAGGGCAACCCTGAGGCAGTACAGATCCTCCTCGCAGGGAGGTGGTCAGGCAGATCTGTGCCGGAGGCAAAGCATTGGTTTCCTGTGTGGCCAAGCCATGCCCTGCACAGCGGGGGCGCGGGGCAGGAGCTATGATCTAGGGGGAGGCCGGGAACACCTCCCGTGGCTGACGGACTCCTCTCCTGCTCACGGGGGAAACGCCGGTTTCACGGAGTTTCCACTGATAACTATTCTGAGATGTCACCTATTAACTTAGTCTGACCTTCCAAAAATGTGGCAAACCTTCATTTTGCCCACTAAGTTCACAGGGAGAGAATTTTTGTTTTTATTTTTGAATGCCTGTGTCCACAAAATTTCCAAAACCCAGAAGGGATTTAATAAACGGGCTGTACATTGCCCCACAGTCATCCTCTGTGCAGCCAGGGCCTGCCTTTCCTTCTCAGAAACCAGCCAGGCCCACCCTTATCACTTGATGACAACAGGATCCTGCCCCTCCTCTGGCCACTTGTCATATCTGAGTGGGCCCCAAGAGCAGGGAAGGCTGCTCTGGGGGGATGCAGGGCACTGACCACTGGCTAGAGATGAAGAAGAGACCCTGGTCCCTGCCTGGCTCTAGATCAGCCTCCCACTCCCTGGGGGACTTTGTACAAGTCACTTCCCTGCTCTGAAACTCAGGGCCCTGCTGCAGGATGGAGCTGTTCCATGCCATAGTGTCCCCAAGGCACCTCCTGGCTCTGGCACTCTTTGCACGGTGCTTTGGAGAGGGTAAGTGCTCAGGAAAAGCTTTAGAAGTACGTAGAGCATCTGGCTGGCCTTGGGCTGTGCGGTTTCCCTATCTGCCTCTCCTTAGTGTTTTGTGTATGTGAGAATCTCCAAGAGTGAGTTGCAGGAAGAGACCCAGGAGGACAGAGGACAGAGACCCAAGTTCAGATGAATAGCATCCAGGACACCCAAGAAAAGAGGGGAGACATTAGGGGTGAGGAGATATCAAGCAAATCAGAAGTGGAAAAGCTGCCCCGGCACTTTCTAGGGAAGAAAGTAGGTCATGGGGCAAGGCAGTATTTGGCAAAAGAAGGCGTCAGGTTGAGAATTCCAGTGAGGATGAACTTTGGTTGGGGCAGCAGGGCGCAAAGGATGTGCTCCAGTGACAAGTGTGAGGTGACAGCATGGTGCTTGGCACACAGGCCACCAAACGTCTTCCCAGAACAGAAGGAGACAGAAGTTACCATGTGGTCACCACTACCCCAAAAAATACAGACGAAACCACGGCAAGAATGAGGCTCCCAGGCTCCCAGTGCTGGCTCTGTGACCCCCGAGCTCTGCAGACTTCAGCAAGAGGGTTACCTCTCTGAGCCCCGTGTCCGCAAATCAAAGAACTAAGGCTACAGTTCTCCAGTGACAGCATCTCCCCTGCAGGCGCCAGGAGGGGAATATCCAGAGGTAAAGTCTGTGAGGACACTTTGTGAATATCGCATAAGTGATGTCTCGTCAAATAGGTGAATGTTCATTACTATGAAAAATCAATAAAAAGGCAGGATAAACACTCTGCTTTTGACTAAAGGCAGGAAATCACCATTTGTGTCTTGCCGCGGTTCTGCCCTCACAGAGCTGAAGTAACCTCAGAGAATTTCTGTGACCATTCTCACTGGACTCCATTCACGTGCTGCGTTTTGCAGGGCGGTTCGTGGCTCCTCGCCGCTCCTCCTACTGCTAAAGAGCACTTGCTTTTGCTGCCTGCAGAATGGCCCCTTCCAGGACTCTACACAAGAGTTAACACTGCACTGGCAACACTGGCTCTGGTTTACCTTTGGAGACAGTTAAATGCTCCATGTTATGCGATGGTGGTAAACCCAAGAGCTCCTTTCTTTTCAACAGGCTGCTGCTTTGTAGAGAGCACAGAATCAGCATAATAAATAAACAGCCAACCCAACTCTAGCACCCCTCCAACACACTTTAGGGATTCATCTGCCCAGAGCCCTCATTTTATATAGGACCAGATACAAGCGCACACCCCTAGTAAATGGCAGAGTCGGTTCCATGGTCTGGCTTTCTCTCCACTATATGGCACACCATAATCTTCATTCATTACGTTTAAAATGCAGTTTTAAGATTCAAACCTGAGCAGCATCCACTCTCTCTCTCTCTAAAAGCATTTCAGAAAAATAAGTCTGTGTTCTCCCAGAAGTGAGCTCCAACAGGGGATCTAGACCCAGTTCTCACCTGTAAATTTGCACACGGTGGTAAAACATGAGTGGGGATTTCATTCTCAGACCCTGCTGGCCCCAGGGGCTGGGTCTTGACCCGGAAGGCTGTAGTGGTGGTGGCAGTGGTGGTCTGTATTGGGAGGGCTGGCTGCCACACGGTCACATCGGAGCCATTGCCAAAGGCTTGAATTGCATTTTCTGCAGTAAAACAGGAGGAAATCCAATTTCAAAGTCAAGCAGCAAATGTAACAGACAGGATATACACAGCCAGAGAGGCACACTAGAAATTCTGATTACAGCATTGGACTTCTCTGAACAAAACCCATCCATCCATTCACCCTACACGTGCTGAGAGCCAGTCTTTGGGGTCAGGTGCTCAAAAATCAATTCGGTCATTAAACAGTAAGCTGGACACTTAGCTATGCTCCAAATGCAACAAATATTTATTGTGTTCCCATTTCCATGCCAGGGTCCGACAAAGATCCTTGCCCTGAAATACTCATCAGTCAAGCCCTTTGAAACCCAGCCTCACACCTATTACTTGGGAGCATTTTTTCCAAGAAAATCCTTGTGCTCTGTCAATATTCTACATTAAAAGCAAACTAATTAGTGCTTTAAAAAAAAAATACACCCCTAATCATGACACAAAGGCAACTCAGTGGCATTCACACTGATTTGGCAGGCAAAATGCAACCAGTTTCTTAAAAAAAAAAAAAAAATCTACCCCAGTGCTCATCAATACCTGGTGAAAATTTAAGTAAGATTATTTTTTCCCTTTCTGCTCCCAGCCTTCCAAACAAAATGTGCACAATTAGGTAGGAGCAGCCCTGTTCAAATGAAAAGTTTAAAATGTAAAACTTTAAAAGCTTATTACAATTTCATAGGATTAGATTGTTTTTATGGCAAGAGTAAATTGGTTGTGTGTTGTTCCCCTCCCCAAAATGAATAAAAAACAGTTTTTAATCAGGTCTTCAGGGATTTGGCCTGGATTTAGGAATTTCACATTTCATATTCATTGTATAAAAAATCAAACTCCTCCATTTGGGACCTGAATGTGCAAATTGTTAATATACGACTCTTAGTTGGCATTTTTCGATATACAAAACAGAATAATTTAGGCCTAATCTTCCTCTTAGAAGTGACATTTTGTTCTAAAATTGTTATCCTTTAAGTTCAGCAAATTGGAAGCTTGTTTTCTACAACTTCACATTTTTGGGGGCTGTAAGAAACAGCTTCAAATTAATATAAATTCTTTTTATGCTCCTAGCCATGTTCTGTAGCTTAACTGGTGGGTGGAAGCAGAGAAAGAGGTACACAGGGACCAGTTCCCTTAAATGAACCCAGAACAGCAACAACAACCCTTCCTTTTTCTTAAGACATGTAGATTCAAGAGATCCTTGCCATTTCTTGCAACAATCTGTGCTATCCCCAGTGTGTCTCCCTTGCCACCTCGGGAGTTCAGTTGTTCACTGCTCATTTGTTCATAGATTCATTCAAATGTTAATGGAATACCTGCTAAGGACCAGATACCATGCACTGGCTGGGCATACCATAGTGAAAAATGACAGCAACAAAAGACAAAAGTCCCTGCCCCATGGAGGTCACATCCAGGTTCGGGAGGCAAATATGTAAAATATATCATTAGGCAGTGAGGAATGCTTGGGGGCTGGTACTTAGGTAACATGGTCCAGGGAGGCCTCCCAGTGAAGGTGGCATCTGCATAAGGACTTGAGTGAAGGCAGCTGGCATCTCCCCTCATCTCTGTCCCATTCTTCTCTCTTCCCCCTACATCTGCATGCACTTGGCTTAAAAAACAGTTTCCTCCCCTCAAAGCAGAAGTAAACAACTGGTTAGAGTTGTGTTCATAATAGGGGAATCTGGGAGAGGTTTGGCTTAATCCAAAGGGAGCAGAATTGGGTTTTGACATTTGAGCCGGAATCTACAAACTCCATGGCCTTCTACTTGCAAGAGACTGAATTTATAGCCCTGCATTTCTGGAGCCCTGGGTTCCATCCAGTCGGGCTGGAAATGGAATGACTGTGGAAAATTCTGGCTGCCTTTGGCCCCTGTTGCAGATCAAGTGCATTTATTTTTATTGAAAAGTCATTAGGAATGAGATACCAGACGATTCTCCTCTTCACCAAAATGTTATTAAGCAGGGACAACTTTTATTTCTCTGGGAGGGAGACGTTTTCCCGTCAGCGTGAGTAAAATGTTTTCTTACACTGACCTCCATCGTCATTGCTTTATCTTCCTTAAAACTTGCATTCTGCCAGAGAGTGCAGGATGTGGAAAAGAGGGAATATATATACTTTTTTTAAGTCAAGACCAAACAAGAGGTCCAAGTTGCAATTCTTTGATATGCCCAGTGTCTCAGTAAATGCCTCGAGACTTGAGACTAGTTTTGTGGGTTCAGATTTCAGTTAGGAACACAAAAGCTTGTTTTATTTTTAAGAGGACCAAAGCAATTGACTATAGTCACATTTCAAAGTACCTAGTAAGCAAGTGACTTAGATTTTTCTTTTCAACAAAGGAAATTTTAAAGTAACACTCAAAACCTTTCTTTGTATATGCATAGTAAATTGTCAGTTAATTCTTTAAAAATCAGTCACCATACAGCCTCGTATCATGGAGAAATTGTCACTTGAGGACAGGGCTCTCGGAGGGGTGGCTGAACCTTGATTCCTAGAAACTTGGCCCACCCCTCCCACCAGGAAGTCAGACCTGGGCCCTAATGTTCAAGCCTGTGTTCTTGGCAACATCAGGCATGAACAAAGCTCTCAGGAGACAGGTGGCTACAAAAGGATCCCGGGCTTTGGACCCTAATCCTGGCACGGTGGTCTATGTGAACCCCAGCCTTTACTGAGCTGCACGGTGGAGCTAATCATACCTACTTCTCCTAGGGCTCTTGTGCAGATTACAGGAAACGAGATCATGTGTGGATTACACTCCCTATAGAGTGAGTTTGAACACACAGAAGACACCCAGTAAATGGCGACTGCCACAAAAGTGAGTGAAATGTTAAAGTATCCCAGCTGGATCATCACCTAGAGCATGTACCTCTTGGTGAGTAGAAGGGAAATCTGGCACTGTGCTTTTGGAGTCTGTCTGATGAATGCCCATTGTTCACACCCGTACATTTCTGTCTATCCCCGTCCCTTTGGGAAACATGTTTCCAAACTGCCTAAAGGACACTGCGATAATAACCGATTCTGTTTCCAAGCAGAAGTCCCCTCCTCCCCCTCCCACCCGTGCTTATCTCGTCTCCCGAGATAACCAACATCCTGCGCCTCCCGCTCGCATCGCCAGTTTATCCCACTCAAGAATCGTTGCTTCTCCTCCGAGCCAACCCTGAGCATCCAAGGGGCTATTGATGTTAACATTCTAATTTTTCTCAGACAGTCCTTGGAGGCCTATCCCCATCTAATTTGTCTGAGCTTCTCACATTGTATATTCTGCCCAGGTTTCAAGAACCTTTGGAACAGACTCTCCGCTGCCTGCCAAGATCAAAATTTGATCTGCGGGTAGAAGTGTTCCTTCCCACATAATGTACCCTCAGTTATTTGAATCTCTTGCTCTCCCAGGCCTTTGGATCCGCAGTCTTGGCAGCACCCAGTTCATCACTTGCTAGGCTCCCTGCTGCGTTGCACAGCGTGGCCAAAAGGAGCCGGATTTACCATCCGTGACCAGGAAGAAAGGGACAGCGAGAGACAGAGGAAGCAGACACAGGGAACGAGAATGTGCAGCTGGAACTCAGAGAGCAAAACACGTTCACTTGTTTGTTTCTTAATCTTTTTTTTTTTTCAAAACTCACTAAGACACGTATTGTCCTTGAAGAAATTCAAAAATTTCAAGCACTCTTCCAGGTCGTTCCCGCTGTTGTTGCAGTCGCACCACGGGGCCACGCTGAGACTACTAGAGTCTATGTAGTTGGGGGTCATGACTGTGCCTGAAAAAAATAAAAGCAAAGCATTTTATGCTTGTATGACAGTACTTTTCTATAACCTAAAAAGAAACAAATGTTCCTCCGACAGCGGATGCACCGTGGATAATTACAAACATTGTGTTTGCTGAGTGGGAAATTATGTTAAGCAGTGAATTTTCTCAGCAATTTATCTTGAGCACATAAAATAATTTACACATTTACTTTAAAAATTATAACAGAGCTCCTTGAGCTGAACTTAGGGTATTTTTTTCCCTGCACAAATGGTATGGATGTCATGGAATAGGAGAGAATTAACTTAGAATGCATGAGTTGCCAAATCCCTTGCATTTTCTTGAAAATGTCATTAATCTTCATAAATAGATAGAACTGGGTTTACATGTCTTAAAAATCCTTTTAGGACTTTGAATCCATTTCCCTCAGAAGCAAAGGATTTCTTCAGAGTAACACAGGGACGCTTAGGAGCTTCCTACGGGATACCCCACACCCTGAATGTATATAACACAGCTCCTGCCCGTTAGACCCTTAACTGAGTTAAATAAAGTCTTCCAGGTTGTGAAGGAATTGGAAACAAACAGTGGCAATTCTCTAAGCCAATGGCTCCTAGAGTATTATCTGTGGACCCTCATTAGTCCTCAAAGAAATGCTGGGTGGTCCTTCCCGCCTACATCTTGTTGTATTCATGGTTTTTCTGATGCGTTCTATCCTGGCACAAACACACCATGTATTCATACTTAATACAACCCAAATGTCCTCTCCTGGGTGGCTCACGCCAGGCAAAGCCCACTGATGCCAAGAAGCCTTTTGTTTTTACATATTTTGTGGAAGTAAGAAGTAATAGGTGGTCAGTAATCCACAGGATGTATTTGGTTCACCAACAGAAAAACAATTTTTTTCTAAGCTCCTCTGAGTCAAGAGCATGTTGTCTTCGCCCTAGATTCCCTACTGACTTGAACTAAATAATAGCCCATTATATCTCGGGATGAGAATTTTAACCTACAGCATAGGAGGAGCTCCTAACTTTGGTCGAGAAAGGACAGGGCCCCCCAAACACGGAGTGAGGAGGTTAAGGACATTGCACGCCTGACAGCATAGTGGATCCTTGACACATGGAAGAAGTAGGAACAAGCTTTGTCCAGAAAGAAAGTCAGGATCCAAGGACCCAGGAGCCAGTGCAGAGGGAGAGACCCAGATCCTAGAAATAAATTCTGGTCTGTAAAATGCAATGTCCCTACAGGTTGTTCCCTCCATTCATCATCCCTGGGCACTTAAGGCTTTGCCAAGTCTAAGAATGACCTCATAGAAATTCTGGCAGAACCTGGCCTTGGCCACTCCTGGAGGAGTGAAGGAGCACGTACAGCTGGAAGGGCACAGACCAGCGTTAACGGGGATTACACCTGAGAGTCGAGTTGGAGATACTTAACATTTTCTTCTAAGGGCTTCTCTGTTGTTACTGTTTTAAATTTTTAAACAAATTTTTCATTTTTAAAAAATTTTTACAATGACTATGCCTTAATTACTTTCGTTATTTCTGTAACTCTGCAGTTGAAAAGTAATCCTTAGTCGAGACTACCTTACTTAAGAAGACAGCAAATGCAAATGTGGAGTATTGACTTAAGGAAGGTACACTTATTAGCCAGATCAATAAAAATGGAAAATAACCGGGAAGATGGGGAAAGGCATTGCCCAAGGGAGCACAGGTATCCTTTTTAAAAAGTTGGAAGTAAAGAGCATGCCAGGAACCTGCAATATCCCTGCATTAAGTACCGTTGTTGATTTTCCCAAAGCCTACTGCAGAAGACACTCTGGTGACAAAGAATTTAGTCTGCGCTGTCATTCCTGGGGGAGGTTCTTCCTGCTGGTGATGTGTGTGACCCTGACACAGACACCTGGCAGGAATACACACCCCGCCTGAGCCATCGTGCTCTGACAATTGTGACAACTGTGACAACTGTGACTTCCCTCACCCTTCCACGGGCTTTGCTGCGTGTTCCCTCTCAAATGCCGATTGCCACGAGCCCTGCCACCAAGCTTCTGCTGTCCCTGGTACCTGGGACACCTGCCTTCCTCCTGCCGGCCCTGTTTATCCAGGGCACAGGTTTGCCTCACTCCTGGCTGTCTTCCAACTCGCGGGTGCCTTGTTTAATTGCACCGCTCTGAATGCTGAGAACACGGTTCTTATAAAGCCTCAGGTCTCAAACATACTGTCTCTGCTGTGTCTGTTTTCAGGAAAAAAAATTTAGCCTAAATCACTCCCTGCACACTGCGAGCTGAATGATCAAGAACATTCATGTCAAGCAGGACCCCCGTATTTAGGGTTTTTATTTCCAAAGGGCCATTTCTGGGAAACAGCCTTTTTGATTTCCCCAGACTGAATGACTTCCCTTTCTCTAAAGTTCCCTAATTCAATTAACTTTGTTTGACTTGCGCTCTTCTTCCACACCCAGCCTTTTTCCTCTGCTTCTGCTCTGCGTGGTCAGTTCCCCAACAGAGACGCCTCCCCCATCTTCGCACCTGCGGGCTCCCCGCTCCTTAGTAACCCCTGCTTCCTGCCGCTGCCTTTCGCGCGGCCGTTATCCTCATTTTTCCTTTCGTACAGGCAAGTCCTAAAGGACCTAACATCAAAACGCGAGCACAGAGGGTTACGGGGGGATTTTCACTTTTGCAGACATCAGCAGGCCGCAATGGAAAGAGTGAGGATATTTGCAAACCAGACTCTTCTCCCATCCCACCTCTTCCGGATCTTACCAATAAGCCCCGAGTAGGCAAGCAGGCAGTCGGCGTAGTTCTCCTTTAGACAGCGGCTGACAGACCTTGACTCCGGTTGGCAGTTGGTAAAAAAATCTGCAAGGCGAGATCTACAACAGGAAGAAAGGGGGAGGGGGATGTGCTTTAAAACGTCCTAAGCCTCTGGACAAACATAACTTTATTCCTTTACTGATATGCCCCTTTGCGTGCACGCGCGCGCACACACACACCATATATATATGTATATATGTATGGGAAACATGAACTATTAAAATGTTGGCATCCTTTCCTGTACAACCCCCCAACCGTCCCCTCCCCCAGCCCTCGCCCACCCGCGTGTGTCTGCATTTTTGGAGAGAAGTCTCCAGGGCCTATAACTGGAGAAATCTAGAGGCTTTGAAGTTTCCATTCAATATTTATTTCTGACTAGACTTATTTGCATCTTTAGGAAATGTGCTTCTCCACACACTCACCGGAGATCCACACTGGGAAAATATTTACTTTGTACAGAAGCATGTCCCTGGCATCAAAATAGGATCCTACAGCCCATCTGCTCCCGTAATTCCTACCGCCTTTAAGAATGTATGTATCTGTCTTGTAAGTCATCTCTCATCCACCAGCCCGGGCGTGGGGGAGCGATTTACTCCAGCCCAGTGACACTAAGGGGGAGCCTGCCCTTTGGAAACCGAAGGGGCAGGAAGAGGGACAGGGGACAGGTGAGGCTCGCTCCAGGTGCAGAGGGCCTGGGGTCAGAGGCCGTGCCTGGAGGGCCCACTGATCAAAGTGTGGCATCTGTCTGCTCTTTGGGAACTCTCTGGGGGCCGTTGCAGTCCACCCAGGATGGCAGGGAAGCTGCAGAGACCCAGAATTGCAGAGTAGCTGCAGACGTGCTGGTCTGGGGAGAAAGAGGGCTTTTTGTGGCCAACTGGCTGTTTTTCAATCTGAAGAGGATATTGTTGGAGAAATCCTGAATGAGAGCTGGGCCACCTCTGAGGTCATCTCAGCAGACAACTGTTCCGTTTCTAGGGAAGAACACAAGGGACTTCCCAAGAATTTAAATTATCCGGCAATTATGGGAGACAATGGGAGGTCTTCTCGGTTTTCTTCTGTCTTTAGCTTACCCCAGAGTTGGCTGCTGACAAACCCAGAGCTGTTTTTACTTCTTTCCGCCCAAGCAACTGTATTTACTTAGCATACTTTACGGTATAAACAAGCCAGGGATGGAGAGGCCAAGCAGGGTTAGGTGTGCAGGGATCGCAAAGGTTTGAAGAAGGCCCGTACGAAGCATGTTATGTGTCCCTCTCCAACAGTTTTAACTAGAAGGGGCATTAAAGGGCCTGATGAAATTATCTGAGTCCACAGGACACTGCCCCTTCTGCCAAGGCTGCACAGTGTTCGCGTGGAGCTGGTTCTCTCCTTGAACCCTTGTAAGCAGGCTTGCCCGCGCCTCCCCATCCGTGCCCATCTGGTGTGCTCTGTATGTTCTGCGTGCCTGGCTCCATCATAGAGAATCCCGGTGGCAGATGCTGGAGGTCTGCTTTATTTTCTTTGCACAGCACCTGACACTCCTCAGAGAGGCCCTTTCTAAGGCTTCCCGAGCAGGGCCATGTGCTGGAGCTAAGTGTCTTGGCAAAATCCGCCAAATGAGGCTGGTGCGCGCGCGGTTGTGCGTGTGCCTGGATCTCAAGCACCGCTCGCGCCTCGCTGGCGTTTGCTGAGTTTAATTGAACACACTGAAAGATATAAAACCTGGCTATGTTCTGTAGCCCGGTTAAAGGATTTATTTTTCGGGGAAAATCCCTAAAGGTGGCTTGGGCTTACTCAACTGGCTCCAACGGCATCCAGCTTGGATTGAGTGTTAATTTCAGAAGAATTTTCCCGGTCATGAAAGTTAATGATCTAGCGGTACTGGGTTTCTAACTTTGCAAAGGCCAACTGCGGTCCAGGCAGCTGGGGCTCCGGTTCTGCACACAACCTGGCCGCCAAACAGCTCTCTGACCTGGCAGCCCCACGCTCCCGGCCTGTCCCCCAGAGATGGATGAAAGGTCACTCTGTCTCCGGGTCTCCGGTTTCTCCTAGTCTCTCCAGCAGACTATTAACTGAACAACACTGTGATGAGGATTACTGTCCTTCAGCACGAGGCTAATGCCACCAGACTCATTTTGCTTAACAACCTCAGAATTGACTCACAATTGGACTCTGGAATGAAAGGCTAATTGAGTCAGTCTGCTGCAGAAAGCATAGTCCCGATTGGGAGGATAAAACAAAATATACTGCTCTGAGCAGAGCTCCTGACAGGCTGCTTTTTGAGAGAAGATCGTTGGCCTTATGTCAGACACAGCCAGTGGATAGGAAGAGAGTTTCAAGAGTGAGTGCAGGAAGCATTGTTAAAACATTAACATTTCCATGCTTCCATCACATTTGACCCACCTCCCTCTGACATTTAGACTTGGAGACAGGATGCTCAACATTATAGGATTCACATTTTACAGATGGAAAAACTGAAGTTAGAAGTTTATACAGTGTTGTGCCGGGGCCAGCTCATTACTGGGTGATTGGTACAATTTCGGGCATTTTGCATGGTGGTTAACATCACGGTGGTAGCTTGAAAGTGGCCGTGGTGGGAGTATTTACACCACAGTAATCAGCGAACATTAGAAATCAAGGCTTTGTGTTGTTCTTAGAGACCTGGTTGTTAAATATTTACCAGCGCAATTCTATTTAAGAACCAGTATGGTGTAGTAAGATAAAGTGTGTGTCATAGCCCTAGAGTTGAGTTCTAGCCCTTCTGGGTCAGGCTTCCTCTCCCATCCTCTACTCTAGCCTTTGTGCCAAATGAAATGGTACAGTACCAATAACCTCCGATCTCCAGTACTTCCCACAGAAGGACAACAGTCCCCCTGTCCCCCACCACCAAAAGGTTCTTGCTTCCCAACATCTTCTCTTACCATCACAGTCCTCTAAAATTTCTTAAAGTAATGTGTGAAAGTGGTCACACACATATTGACAAAGCAATTAAATTCCTGTCTGTCCCATTGACTGAGTGAAGCGTCAGGTGCTATGATATAATGCTGAAAAAGACTGTCCTTCAACTTAAATAACCTGCAGTCTAGATGCCAAGAGAAACAAGTAAAAAGATTGTATTAATAATAATACAGCAGTTTGTTCTTGATAAAAGGTAAGAATGAATGACTGCTAACAAAAATAATATCTAACATGAATGAAGTATTTAGTATATGTTAGGTATATTTTTTGCACACTTTATATTATTTTCTGACAACACTAATGAGATAGGTACTTTTATTTTATTATCCTAATTTTACAGACAAGGAAGCCAAGGTTGAGTAAGGTTAGACTAGAGGAAAATACTGAGTAGCAGAACCAGGATTTCAAACCATGCATTCTAACTCTGTAATTTAGGTTTTTAACATTACAACACTTCATAGCTAAAGAAGCTGGTTTCAGAGAGGCAGCAATATCGGGACTGAGACTTGAAAATGGGTAGGATTTGTCAGGCAAAGTGGAGGAGGGTATTCCAGGTAGAAGGAAGTAGTATAAGATACACTAACCACACTCATAATAACCTCAGGATGGCAAGTATGGAGTGCTTGCATGTGCCACGCACTGACTTCACCACTTGACATGTGTTCACACACTGAGTCCTCATGAGGTGATACTATCAGGCCCATTTTACCAATGAGGAAACTGAGGCACAGAGAGCCCTCTGGGTTGTAGAGCTCTGTGGTGGAGCTGGAACGTGATCACATTCAATCTGACTACAGAGCCCGCGATCATTCTCAACCTCTACACTTAACACGTGTATCACGCAGAACATTGCTAGTCACTCACTCAGGATGGCTGGGTCACAAGATGCAAATGGGGAGCAATGGGAGATGGTGCTGGTGAGGTCTTAAAAAACCTTGTACGACCTAAGAGTTTGGATTTTATCCCAACAGCAGTGGGAGCCACTGAAGGATTTTTTTTTTTTTTTTTTTTTTTGAGACAAAGTCTCACTCCATTGCCCTGAGTAGAGTGCCATGGCATCA